TATTTCACTCAGGGCCATAGTTACTGAGTTATAACTGACCGGTCAGCAAATATTTCACTCCGGGCCATAGTTACTGCGTTATAACTGACCGGTCAGCGTATATTTCAGTCAGGGCTAGAAATTGACAGAAAACCGCAAGATTTAGGGCCAGAATTAGACCATTTGGCCCACTGGGTCTGCTCTGCTGTTCAATCGCGGCTGATATATCTTCTCCTGGCCCTTTCCCAATCAAGGTCCTACCTCTGTCTTAAACACACTCAATAATGTGGCTTGCTGTGTCAACAAGTTGCATCCCTCCAGCGGAAGGAATTCCTCCCCATCTCAGTTTTAAAGGGTCGTCCTTTCAATCTGAGGCCGTGCCCCTCCGGCCCCCAACTCCGGTTCCTAGTCTCTCCATTAGTGGAGCCACCTTCTTCATATCCACTTCCATCCAGGCCCACCTCCTCGGTATTCTCTAAGTTTCAGTCTGATTCCCCTCTCATCGTACGGGCCCAGAGTCCTGAACCGCTCCTCACACGACAAGCCCTTCGTTCCCTGGGATCGTTCTGTTTAAACCTCCTCCTGACCCTCTCCAAGGCCAAGCACATCCTTCCTTAGATACGGGGCCCAAAACTGCCCGTGATAGTCCAAATTATAACCAGCCAGTTAGTGTATGTTTTACTAAGGGATGTAATGCCTGGACTATAACAGGCAGAATATATTTTTAGTCCACACTATAGATTTTGACTTGTCCTACAGTTACCGAGTTATAAGTAAACCAGACATTGTATATTTCAGTTATAGCGATAATTACTGGGTTATTGCAGGTCGGCCGGTTTCTATTTCACTCAGTGCTATAACGTGCAGTTTATAGCTAACCCAAAGTACAGCTCACTTAGTGCAGGCTGGTGAAAGTATAGTCCAGTCAGTGGTTATAATTTGCTGGTTATATCTAACCCACCAGCGTATGTTTCAGTGAGTGCTACAATTACTCAGTTCTGACAGGCCGGTCATTATAGCTCGCACAGTTAGTATTCACAGTCAGCGCTGTAATCCCTGGGTAATAACTCGCTAGTCAATACATGTTTCAGTTAGTGTCACAATTGTTGGCTTACATCTTGTTGGCCAGTGCACTGTAACTCGCTGCTCAGTGCGATGTGACTAACCTGTCACCTACCGGCCTAACTGGTTAGTTTGTTATCACTAGCTGGTCAGTTTATTACGACTAACTGGTCAGTTCATTATTACCAAGTGGTTAGTTTATGATCATTAGCTGGTTAGTTTGTTATTGCTACCTGGTTAGTTTATCATTACTAACTGGTTAGTTTATGATCACTAGCTGATCAGTTTATTATTACTAACTAGTTAGTTTATGATCTTTAACTGGTCAGCTTATTATTACCAACTGGTTAGTTTATGATCTCTAGCTGGTTAGTTTATTATTACTAACCGGTTAGTTTATGATCTTTAGCTGGTCAGCTTATTATTACGAACCGGTTAGTTTATGATCTCTAGCTGGTTAGTTTATTATTACTAACTGGTTAGTTTATGATCTCTAGCTGGTTAGTTTATTATCACTAATTGGTTAGTTTATGATCTTTAGCTGGTCATCTTATTATTACCAACTGGTTAGTTTATGATCTCTAGCTGGT